AGACCTGGCCACTCCCACCCCGCCCACGTGGGTGTAAGGAGCAGGTGGGTGGGTGAAGTGGTGGGAGATGGATTCAGGTAGAGCAGGTGGGTGACTTAGTGGGTGGGTGAGTGAATTGGTTAGTGGGTGGGTGAGTGGGTTAGTGGGTAAATAAGGTGTGAGATTTCTTCCATGTCGAAAGGGATTAAAAACTCTCTTCAGATTTAGAAAATAAGAAAGAAAGAACAATGCAGCAAGCCTACTGGCCCATGCGAGGCAGGGCCAAGTCACCTTTCGGCTTAAACCAATGACTCACCTAGTCATGTCAGGTCAGGTCAGGTCACATCCACATAAGGAAGGAGCACAGTATCAGATCTATTAGCACAAGCTAGTCAGGTCTAACTCACACCCACCCACACTCACTCATGTATTTTTCTAACCTATTTTTAAAACTACACAACGTTTTAGCCTCAATAACTGTACTTGGGAGTTTGTTCCACTCATCCACAACTCTATTACCAAACCAGTGCTTTCCTATATCCTTCCTGAATCTGAATTTTTCCAACTTAAAATCATTGCTGTGGGTCCTGTCTTGGCTAGATATTTTTAGCACGCTATTTACATTCCCTTTATTTATTCTTGTTTTTCATTTATACACCTCAATCATATCCTCCTTAAATCTAAGCCTTTCTATATCTAGAGTGCAGATTCAGGGCCCTCAGTCTATCCTCATAGGGAAGATTTCTGCTGCATGGGATCAACTTTGTCATCCTCCTTTGTACGTTTCCCAGTGCATTTATATCCATTCTGTAATACGGTGACCAGAACTGTGCAGCATAATCTAAATGAGGCCTAACCAAGGATATATAGAGTTGAAGAACAACCTGAGGACTTCTATTATTTATGCTTCTTGATATGAAGCCAAGAATCTGTTCGCGTTATTGCGAACACTTATGCACTGTTGTCTTGGTTTCAGATTACTGCTAACCAGAACTCCCAAATCCTTTTCGCAATCCGTAATATTAAGATATATATTATTTGGTTGATATATGGCATGATTGTTTTCCTGTCCAATGTTTAGAACTTTGCATTTCTCTTATTAAACTGCACCTGCCACTTCCTCGACCACTGCATCACTCTATTTTAAATCTTCCTGGAGTGCTCTAATGTCCTCATTAAAATTAATTGGGAGACCTATCTTGGTGTCATCAGCAAACTTGCTTATGTCGCTATTTATTCCCTCAGTGTCATTTATATAAATTGTGAACAATAATGGGCCAAACACTGACCCCCTGCGGATCACCGCTTGTGACGTACCCCCATTCTGATTTCTCCCCATTGATGCAAACTCTCTGCTGCCTATCTGTCAACCATGCTCTACCCAGGAAAAAATTTCTCCTTCTGTTCCGTTTGCTTTAGATTTCCTCAATAACCTGTGTTGTGGAACTCTATCGAAAGCCTTACTGAAGTCCATATACACAATATCATATTCATTACCATGATCTACCTCCTCAAACACCTTAGTGAAAAAGTTAGTAAATTCGTAAGACATGAACGCCCCTTTATAAAGTCGTGTTGAGATTCATTAATCAATTTATGCCTATCAAGATGGCTACGAATTGCTTCGGCAATTATTGATTCCATAAATTTTCTCACTGTGGATGTAAAGCTTATTGGTCTATAGCTCGAAGCTAAGGACCTGTCACCTGCCTTGTAAATATACCTGGTATTACTTTTGCCAAAGGTATGCTAAGTTCCTCTTTACATTACTTTAAAACCCTTGCAAAAAGTACATCAGGACCTGGGGATTTGTTAGGTTTTAGTTTCTATATTTGTCTGAGGACCATGTCACTAGTTACCCTAATCGTGCATAGTTTATTATCGTCCTGTTCTACATAACTTATTATTTCTGGAATTTCGCTAGTATCTTCCTGAGTAAAAACTGAGAGAAATTAAGAGGCAAAAATTTCACACATTTCCGTATTACTGTCAGTGACCTGAGTTACTTTTCAGTGGGTCTATCTTGTCCCTTATCTTACTGCTATATACCTGAAAGAACCCTTTTGGTTTAGTCTTCGAATCCCTTGCCACTTTAGCCTCATAATCCCTTTTAGCTTTTCTTATTCCTTTCTTTATATCTCTCTTTAATTGAATACATTGATTTCTTAACTGCCCATCCCCTCTTTTGATACGCCTATATATGCCTCTCTTTTGACCAGTGAGATGTTTTAATCTATTGTTTTTCCATTTGGGATCAACCTAAAATGCATGCAGTTATTCCTTTCGATTTAGCCTTAATGTAGAGGGGATTTAAGGTTACTTTCCTCTGGCTTGACCACCGAAAATAGGCTGTGCGCCCCTCTCACCTTCACCAGGAAAATGAACAGGGAAATTGAACTCATAAATTGAGCTCGGTAAAATGGACGCCTCAAAATGAACTATGAAAAGTGAGCTCTGAGAATTGAGCTCTGAGAAAAGTGAGCTCTGAAAAAAGTGAGCTCTAGAAATTGATCTCCGACAAAAGTGAGCTCTTGAAAAGTGAGCCCTGAAAAGTGAGCTCTGGAAAGTGAGTTAGACAGGTACATGAATAAATTTAAGATTAGCAGGCGTAGCAGACCTAGCAGGCCTAACAGGCCTAGCAGGCCTAGCAGACCTAGAAGGCCTAGTAGGCGTACTACACCTGGTTCTTCCACCCTTTTCTTGTCTTCTTATGTTTGTCTATCCCGCCTTCGCATTCTCTCTCTCTCTCTCTCTCTCTCTCTCTCTCTCTCTCTCTCTCTCTCTCTCTCTCTCTCTCTCTCTCTCTCTCTCTCTCTCTCTCTCTCTCGATGTTTTCCCCTTTTTCAATCCTCCGCGTTCGTCTCTTCCTCTTCCCTTCCTCCTTCTTCCACTCTTCCTCGTCTCCTTCCCTCTTCCGTCCTTCTTCGTCTCTCTCTCCCTCTGCTGCTAGCTTCACTAACACCCATCACTTACATCTAATTGCTTTCACACTACACACGACATCCAGCAATAAATATACGAAATGTGGGGAATTTTAGCCTGTGTGAGGGAAGGAGAGAGAGGGAGAAGTAGAGAGGCAGAGAAAGAGGAAAGGGCAGCATGGGAGGCAGAAAGAGAAAAAAAATGTATAGTCTCTCTGGACAAGGTGTAAGCGATCTTTCCTGCTACGTAATTCGTGTTGGAAGGCTCGTAAGAACATAGGGACATAAGAAAGGAGGAACGCTGCAGAAGGGCTACTGGCTCATACTTGGCAAGTCCTTATCAAACCCAAACCCACTAGAGAAACTATTCGCCCAACCCATTATCAATGTCACCCCAAGGATTAAGCTTTGATAACCCCATCAACTCGAAGTGCAAGTACCACTCAAATCCAGCTCACATCTTCCTGCGCCTCGAATCATCCTCTCTGCCTGTTAGATCCTCCTGTGTATACAAGACTCCAGGTTTTCCACGGGATGTTCCCTATCTACAGAGAGCAAGCTTGAATATGATTGTCTGGTACATTGTTCCGGATTATGGGGCAGAACTCTCCTCCAAGCTCATAACTGCGTCTTCAGAGGTGATGGACTGATTTTATTGTCTTCACATCTCTAATGCTTCTCCTGCCTCCTCTGTATTCGACTGAAGAAGCCTTCCGTATAAGCGAACCTTTCGGAATAAAGATTCCTAACACTTGTAGATGTATCAGAGAACAGGCTGAAAGGAATCTACACGAGAGGATTTAAGGGGCACAAAAAATGCGTCTGATAAAGGCAGGAGAATATTTGGAACTTCCCAGTCACAGTATCCACTGGAAATCCACTACCGACTCGACCTGTACAGAAGAACGATAAATCTTTCAATTAGTTTTAATCTCGTTAACTCCTAACTTCGTTACATCTGAAGGGCAGTGGGAGCCAGAGGCAATCACAACACTATTGCCCACCCACACCAGAGTTGGGCAGTGTGACATTGACTGGTAACTGAGCTTGTGGGTCCCTGTCCTCTCTTTGAAATGTCACTCAAAATATTGAGAGAGAGAGAGAGACAGAGAACGAAATCGTTGGCCCATAGATGGCTCCAACTTTATCCTGTTCCTTATCTGTATAACTCATAACAATATAAATACTTTCAAATGAGCTGATGTAGGAAACAGCTCTTAGCTTGTAAATAAAGTTAGGAACCGTAAATCTAACCTTGCAGAACCCAGTGTAAGAGAGCGAGAGAGAGAGAGAGAGAGAGAGAGAGAGAGAGAGAGAGAGAGAGAGAGAGAGAGAGAGAGAGAGAGAGAAAATGTGAGTGTGTTGCAACCCCGGTGATGACGTGGATATCCTAGGGATGAAATATGATTCCAAACTGTCTATGGAGAACCACGTAGTAAATCTTGCAAGCAAGACAACCGAAAAACTAAACAACATTAGATGTATGTGGTACCTGCTCGACGAGAGAGACTGCAGAACCCTGTACAAGGCACAAGTGTACTCACATCTTGAGTATGTTCCACTTTCTTGGACTGTCTCACCCCTGGGCTCATTTACAACTTCTGGACAGAATACTGAACAGAGCAGCACGACTTTTCTCTCGCCTGGACCCGGCCTGGATAAATTTATCATTTCAGCAGAACCTTCAACACCGGAAAGATGTGGGTGACCTTACTGTTATGTACAGCAAGAAGACAGCTTCCATACAACAAGACGGGCAGTAGACATCAACTACTCTCTGGCTGTACCCTTCTCAAGAACATCACTTCACATGAGATCATTCAGTTCTTGAATAACTTGAGTCTGGGACATATTCGTACAGCATAACGACATCGCCGAAGTCAAGCCAGTTGACCAAATGAAATCGCTGGCCTACATGTGACTCCAACTTCACCCTATTCCCTACTTGCATATTTCATAACAATAAAAAAATAGGCTTTCCAATGAGATGAGATAAACAACAGCTCTTAAGTTGTAAATGAGAGTAAAAACTCTTAATTTAACCCTGCAAAAAAAAAAAAAACCTTGTGTGAATATAAAGACAGTTATGGTAGGTCTTACCTCTGCTGGTATAGTGTTCTGGTACTGTTGGCCAACACCACCATAGCCCCAGTTAGGTCCTGCTTCTGGCCGGAACCTGTCAGGTGAGGCACACACAACGTTATTAACCACTCACAACAGCTAATAAACTGACAATACACAAATAACCCGCACATATAAGAAACAGGCTTATGATGATGTTTCGGCCCGACTTGGACCTCACTGTCATTCTTTGTATGCTTTCCAATGTATCTGAGTGGTTTATGTAGTAAGGAGACCAGAAGTGTGCTGCATAACCTAAATGAATCTATTAATGTGTAGAGATACAGAATAATCTTTTGACCTTTGACATGTCATACTGACACACGAAGGTGAGGGAGCCAGTATCTATCTATCTATCTATCTATCTAGTGGTGGAGATAATGCATTATCTCCAAGCCTACTGGCCCAAGCTAAAATGGTTCAACTCACACCCACTCATGCATATGTCTAATATATTTTAAAAGCTACAAGATTTTAGCTTCAATGACGCTACTTGAGATTCTCTTCTTCCCGTCTCCCTGCCCCATCTTCCCCTCTTCTTCTTCCCGTCTCCCTGCCCCATCTTCCCCTCTTCTTCTTCCCGTCTCCCTGCCCCATCTTCCCCTCTTCTTCTTCCCGTCTCCCTGCCCCATCTTCATCTCTTCTTCTTCCCGTCTCCCTGCCCCACCTTCATCTCTTCTTCTTCCCGTCTCCCTGCCCCATCTTCCCCTCTTCTTCCCGTCTCCCTGCCCCATCTTCCCCTCTTCTTCTTCCCGTCTCCCTGCCCCATCTTCATCTCTTCTTCTTCCCGTCTCCCTGCCCCATCTTCCCCTCTTCTTCTTCCCGTCTCCCTGCCCCATCTTCCCCTCTTCTTCTTCCCGTCTCCCTGCCCCATCTTCCCCTCTTCTTCTTCCCCTCTCCCTGCCCCATCTTCCCCTCTTCTTCTTCCCGTCTCCCTGCCCCATCTTCCCCTCTTCTTCTTCCCGTCTCCCTGCCCCATCTTCATCTCTTCTTCTTCCCGTCTCCCTGCCCCACCTTCATCTCTTCTTCTTCCCGTCTCCCTGCCCCATCTTCCCCTCTTCTTCCCGTCTCCCTGCCCCATCTTCCCCTCTTCTTCTTCCCGTCTCCCAGCCCCATCTTCATCTCTTCTTCTTCCCGTCTCCCTGCCCCATCTTCCCCTCTTCCTCTTCCCGTCTCCCTGCCCCATCTTCCCCTCTTCTTCTTCCCGTCTCCCTGCCCCATCTTCATCTCTTCTTCTTCCCGTCTCCCTGCCCCATCTTCATCTCTTCTTCTTCCCGTCTCCCTGCCCCATCTTCTCCTCTTCTTCTTCCCGTCTCCCTGCCCCATCTTCCCCCCCGTCCTCTTCCCGTCTCCCTGCCCCATCTTCTTCCCCTCTTCCTCTTCCCGTCTCACTGCCCCATCTTCCCCTCTTCTTCTTCCCGTCCCCCCTGCCCCATCTTCTTCCCCTCTTCCTCTTCCCGTCTCACTGCCCCATCTTCCCCTCTTCTTCTTCCCGTCTCCCTGCCCCATCTTCCCCTCTTCTTCTTCCCGTCTCCCTGCCTCATCTTCCCCTCTTCTTCTTCCCGTCTCCCTGCCCCATCTTCTCCTCTTATTCTTCCCGTCTCCCTGCCCCATCTTCCCTCGTCCTTCTCCCGTCTCCCTGCCCCATCTTCTTCCCCTCTTCCTCTTCCCGTCTCCCTGCCCCATCTTCCCCTCTTCTTCTTCCCGTCTCCCTGCCCCATCTTCCCCTCTTCCTCTTCCCGTCTCCCTGCCCCATCTTCCTCTCTTCTTCTTCCCGTCTCCCTGCCCCATCTTCCCCTCTTCCTCTTCCCGTCTCCCTGCCCCATCTTCCCCTCTTCTTCTTCCCGTCTCCCTGCCCCATCTTCCCCTCTTCCTCTTCCCGTCTCCCTGCCCCATCTTCCCCTCTTCTTCTTCCCGTCCCTGCCCCATCTTCCCCTCTTCCTCTTCCCGTCTCCCTGCCCCATCTTCCCCTCTTCTTCTTCCCGTCTCCCTGCCCCATCTTCCCCTCTTCTTCTTCCCGTCTCCCTGCCCCATCTTCCCCTCTTCCTCTTCCCGTCTCCCTGCCCCATCTTCCCCTCTTCCTCTTCCCGTCTCCCTGCCCCATCTTCCCCTCTTCTTCTTCCCGTCTCCCTGCCCCATCTTCCCCTCTTCCTCTTCCCGTCTCCCTGCCCCATCTTCCCCTCTTCTTCTTCCCGTCTCCCTGCCCCATCTTCCCCTCTTCCTCTATCCGCCTCCCTGCCCCGTCTTCCCCTCTTCCTCCTCCCGTCTCCCTGCCCCATCTTCCCCTCTTCTTCTTCCCGTCTCCCTGCCCCATCTTCCCCTCTTCCTCTTCCCGTCTCCCTGCCCCATCTTCCCCTCTTCTTCTTCCCGTCTCCCTGCCCCATCTTCCCCTCTTCCTCTTCCCGTCTCCCTGCCCCATCTTCCACTCTTCTTCTTCCCGTCTCCCTACCCCATCTTCCCCTCTTCCTCTTCCCGCCTCCCTGTCTCATCTTCCCCTCTTCCTCCTCCCGTCTCCCTGCCCCATCTTCCCTCTTCCTCTTCCCGTCTCCATACCCCATCTTCCCCTCTTCCTCTTCCCGTCTCCCTGCCCCATCTTCCCCTTCTTCTTCTTCCCGTCTCCCTGCCCCATCTTCCCCTCTTCCTCTTCCCGTCTCCCTGCCCCATCTTCCCCTCTTCTTCTTCCCGTCTCCCTGCCCCATCTTCCCCTCTTCCTCTTCCCGCCTCCCTGTCTCATCTTCCCCTCTTCCTCCTCCCGTCTCCCTGCCCATCTTCCCCTCTTCCTCTTCCCGTCTCCATACCCCATCTTCCCCTCTTCCTCTTCCCGTCTCCCTGCCCCATCTTCCCCTCTTCCTCTTCCCGTCTCCCTGCCCCATCTTCCCTCTTCCTCTTCCCGTCTCCCTGCCCCATCTTCTCCTCTTCTTCCCGTCTCCATACCCCATCTTCTTTTCTTCTTCCCGTCTCCCTGCCCCATCTTCTCCTCTTCTTCCCGTCTCCATACCCCATCTTCTTTTCTTCTTCCCGTCTCCCTGCCCCATCTTCCCTCTTCCTCTTCCCGTCTCCCTGCCAAATCTTCCCTTCTTCGTCTTCCCGTCTCCCTGCCCCGTCCTTCCCCTCTTCCTCTTCCCGTCTCCCTGCCCCATCTTCCCTCTTCCTCTTCCCGTCTCCCTGCCCCATCTTCTCTTTTCCCGTCTCCATACCCCATCTTCTTTTCTTCTTCCCGTCTCCCTGCCCCATCTTCCCCTCTTCTTCTTCCCGTCTCTCTGCACCATCTTCCCATCTTTTTCCCGTCTCTCTGCACCATCTTCCCCTCTTCTTCTTCCCCTCTCTGCACCATCTTCCCTCTTCTTCTTTCCGTCTCTCTGCGCCATCTTCCCCATTTCTTCTTCCCGTCTCTCTGCGCCATCTTCCCCTCTTCTTCGTCTCGTCTCTCTGCACCATCTTCCCCTCTTCTTCTTCTTCTTCCCGTCTCTCTGCGCCATCTTCCCCTCTTCTTCTTCCCGTCTCCCTGCCCCATCTTCATCTCTTCTTCTTCCCGTCTCCCTGCCCCACCTTCATCTCTTCTTCTTCCCGTCTCCCTGCCCCATCTTCCCCTCTTCTTCCCGTCTCCCTGCCCCATCTTCCCCTCTTCTTCTTCCCGTCTCCCTGCCCCATCTTCATCTCTTCTTCTTCCCGTCTCCCTGCCCCATCTTCCCCTCTTCCTCTTCCCGTCTCCCTGCCCCATCTTCCCCTCTTCTTCTTCCCGTCTCCCTGCCCCATCTTCATCTCTTCTTCTTCCCGTCTCCCTGCCCCATCTTCATCTCTTCTTCTTCCCGTCTCCCTGCCCCATCTTCTCCTCTTCTTCTTCCCGTCTCCCTGCCCCATCTTCCCCTTCGTCCTCTTCCCGTCTCCCTGCCCCATCTTCTTCCCCTCTTCCTCTTCCCGTCTCACTGCCCCATCTTCCCCTCTTCTTCTTCCCGTCTCCCTGCCCCATCTTCTTCCCCTCTTCCTCTTCCCGTCTCACTGCCCCATCTTCCCCTCTTCTTCTTCCCGTCTCCCTGCCCCATCTTCCCCTCTTCTTCTTCCCGTCTCCCTGCCTCATCTTCCCCTCTTCTTCTTCCCGTCTCCCTGCCCCATCTTCTCCTCTTCTTCTTCCCGTCTCCCTGCCCCATCTTCCCCTCGTCCTCTTCCCGTCTCCCTGCCCCATCTTCTTCCCCTCTTCCTCTTCCCGTCTCCCTGCCCCATCTTCCCTCTTCTTCTTCCCGTCTCCCTGCCCCATCTTCCCCTCTTCCTCTTCCCGTCTCCCTGCCCCATCTTCCTCTCTTCTTCTTCCCCTCCCTGCCCCATCTTCCCCTCTTCCTCTTCCCGTCTCCCTGCCCCATCTTCCCCTCTTCTTCTTCCCGTCTCCCTGCCCCATCTTCCCCTCTTCCTCTTCCCGTCTCCCTGCCCCATCTTCCCCTCTTCTTCTTCCCGTCTCCCTGCCCCATCTTCCCCTCTTCCTCTTCCCGTCTCCCTGCCCCATCTTCCCCTCTTCTTCTTCCCGTCTCCCTGCCCCATCTTCCCCTCTTCTTCTTCCCGTCCCTGCCCCATCTTCCCCTCTTCCTCTTCCCGTCTCCCTGCCCCATCTTCCCCTCTTCCTCTTCCCGTCTCCCTGCCCCATCTTCCCTCTTCTTCTTCCCGTCTCCCTGCCCCATCTTCCCCTCTTCCTCTTCCCGTCTCCCTGCCCCATCTTCCCTTCTTCTTCTTCCCGTCTCCCTGCCCCATCTTGCCCTCTTCCTCTCTTCCGCCTCCCTGCCCCGTCTTCCCCTCTTCCTCCTCCCGTCTCCCTGCCCCATCTTCCCCTCTTCTTCTTCCCGTCTCCCTGCCCCATCTTCCCCTCTTCCTCTTCCCGTCTCCCTGCCCCATCTTCCCCTCTTCTTCTTCCCGTCTCCCTGCCCCATCTTCCCCTCTTCCTCTTCCCGTCTCCCTGCCCCATCTTCCCCTCTTCTTCTTCCCGTCTCCCTGCCCCATCTTCCCCTCTTCCTCTTCCCGCCTCCCTGTCTCATCTTCCCCTCTTCCTCCTCCCGTCTCCCTGCCCCA